GTACACTATTCCCCACCATCCCTATAGACAATTGTACAAGTGAACTGAGTGAATGCATGTAAGCATTTGGATTTCACCATCTGGTACAGAGTAAGCATGAATGCATGTTAACAATTATTGCTGTTAGTATTTTTACTACTCTCTTTCTAAACCAAAGATTTTTAGAAATGCCAAGATACTCAGAATGTTTAGAAAAGAGTTCTTTCTTTTCTAGGGGGAAGAGGGCTGTTGCTCAAGAGTGTTAAATTTGTAAATTTAAATTCTGTGTATTCTTCGAGTTCCTCTTCTGATATTAAACTTTCCTTCCCCAAGGACTCTTTCTTATTCCCAATTTCTTATAGCAGGTGTTTTTCCTCTATACGTTTTGCCAACTCATTATATTCTGACTTAGATTTTACTTTAATCATTTCATATGCACAAACTCCAGTTCCCCAGACAGACTATAAATTTCTCCTGGGTTTAGTTCATGCCATGTACCTTTTTTCCTCTCTCAGAACTTGACACATAGCAGACAGGGTGAATAACTAAATACATGTATAGACCACTATTAACTCTTTTCTCTTGCTTCCTTCTCCCAACAATGTTGTTGCTGTTAAGTACCATCTAGTCAGTTCTGACTCACTGTAACACTGTATAGGGTTTCTGAGGAGCAGCTGGTGGGTTTGAACTGGCAATCTTGCAATTAGCAGTCCAGTGCTTCTCTTACAGTGCCATACTAGGACTCCCTACCAATACTAATTATGATTATAGCAATAGTAAACAAAATTATACAAACTTCTGAATACTGGGTGCTTCCTGTGCTTGGCACTGAACTGAACACTTGGGAAGCCTGTCTTTCTTGATCTTCAACAACTTCAGCTGAGCAAGTTGTGCACTGGGTGGATGCTGAGAGAGTTGTAAAGAGAATAGCTAGGGAATAGCCGGCTTTACAGATGGACACTGAGCAGGGGCTAGTTAGCTGTAGGTCCTGAAACAGAAGACATAGAGCCTCTGTCATGGATTGAGTTCAGTCTCCCCCAAAATATATGTCAACTGGGCTGAGCCATAATAACTTCAGTGCTTTGGCAATTATGTAATGATGTAATCATCCCCATGATGTGAGCTGATGTGATCAGCCAATCAACTAAGGATTTAGGGAGGGATGCAACACACCCTTATTCAGGGCACAGCCCTCACCCAATGTAAAGGGAGTTTCCCTGAGGTGTGACCTGCAACACCTTTGATCATACAAGAGTATGATACAAGTAGAGAGAAGAAAGCAGAGAAGGGACCAAAGTACCACCAAAAAAGATCCAGGAGTGGAGTGTATCCTTTGGACCTGGGTCACTGTGCTGAGAACCCTCTAGACCCAGGGGAAGATGGGTACCAAGACACATAGAGATCTCTCAGGAATATAGAGGCCACAGATGTTGAAAGGAGACATCCCAAAGCTAGCAGAGAGAAAATCTTCTCCTAGAGCTGGCAATCTGAATGGACACCTTATCCTCACTTTTTTTTTGGATGCAATTCAACCAAAGGTTTTAATCCCGTCATTACAAAATCAGGCTATCAAAGCTGAGATTCTTAAGGGGAAAGGATCTGTGCTTATGGGGACATAGTTTGGAAAACTCTCCCATGTGTTTCTGATAGGTCTATGTAGGAACAAACTTTTTTTGACCATAGCCCAGAGTTAGAAATATATATGACATTGTTGTTGTTGTTGTCAGGTGCCATCGAGTCGGAACCGACTTATAGCGACTCCATGCATAGCAGAATGAAACAATGTCTGATCCTGGGCCAACCTCACTACTGCTGCCACACTTGAGTCCATCAATGATGCCACCTGGCCAATCCATCTTGTTAGGGGTATTCCTCTTTTTCTCTGACCCTCCACCTTACCCAGCATGACATCCTTCTCCAGCGACTGTTTCCTCCGGACAACATGTCCAAAGTATGAGAGACGAAGCTTAGCCATCCTGGCCTCCAAGGAGCACTCTGGCTGAACTTCTTCCAAAACAGATCTATCGGTTCTTTTGGCAGTCCATGGCACTTCAGTATTCTCCTCCAACACCACAACTCAAAGGCATCAATTCTTCTATGATCTTCCTTATTCACTGTCCAGCTTTCACATCCATATGAGGCTATTGAAAACACGATGGCCTGGGTCAGGCGCACTCTAGTCCTCAAGCTGACATCTCTGCTCTTCAATACTTAAAAAAGTTCCTGTGCAGCAGATTTGTCCAATGCAATACGTCGTCTGATCTCTTGACTGCTGCTTCTGCGAATGTTGATAGTTGATCCAAGAAGAATGAAGTCCTTGACAACTTCAATCTTTTCTCCATTGATAAGAATGTTGTTTATTGGTCCAGTGGTGAGGATTTTTGTTTTCTTGACATTGAGATGTAATCCATATCGAAGGCTGTGCTCTTTGATCTTCATAAGTAAATGTTTCAAGTCTTCTTCACTTTGAGCAAGCAATATATGACATTATAACTCAGATATACACATACACACATGCATACATACATGGATCTTAAAGACTTTGATGAAACAATGCGTATATGCTTATGCTAGGATCTCCAATGTTATTCTGTATTTTATTCTTTCATTAAAAATGATAGTTGTGAGGATGTGGAGAAATTTGAACCCAACCTAAGTAGATTAGTAGGAATCTAAAATGGTATAGTCACTTTGGAAAACAATTTAACAATTCTGCAAATTGTTATATATAGCGTTTACTATATGACCCAGAAATTCCACTTCTAGGTACACAGACAGGAGGAATGAAATATACATCCATAGGAAAACATTCACAGAAGCACTATTCAAAGTAGTCAAAATGTGGAATCAAACCAAATGTTTATCAACAAAGTGTAGTATAGTCCCAAACTGGAATACTATTTAGCCATGAAAAGGAATGAAGTTCTACAATATGGATGAACTTTGAAAATGTTATGCTAAATGAAAAAAGCCAGTGACAAAAGACATATTATGTAATTCCATTTATATGGAAATGGCCACAATAGGCAAATCTACAAAGATAGAAAGTAAATTTAAGGTTGCCTAGGGCTGGGAGTCCTGGTGTGGTGTTGCAGATTAATGCACTGGACTGCAAGATCAGTTTGAAGTGCAAGGTGGGTGGTTTAAGCTCACCAGTCGCTCCTCGAATACAGGATCGATACTCATATACAGGGTCGCTATGAGTCAGAACCGAGTTGATAGCACTTAACAACAATAACAGGGCAAGAAAAGGAAAAGAAAGAGAACTGATGTCTTTGAAGTATGATGCTGGCAAATAATATTTAATATACCATCAACTGCTAGAAAAATGAACAAATCTGTCTTGGAAGAAGTACAATCAGAATGTGTCTTTGAAGTGAGGATGGTGAGACTTTATCCCATGTACACTGGGTATGTTATCAGGAAGAACCAAACCCTGGAGAAAGACATCTTGCTTGCTAAAATAAAGGGTCAGTGAAAAAGGGGAAGACCCTTAATGAGATGGATTGAAAAAGTGCCTGCAATAATGAGTTCAAACAGATGAGGATGGCACCGGGCCAGACAGAGTTTTGTTCTACTGGACACAGGAACTGCTGAGTCTAAACTGAATCAGCAGCACCTAACTAATCAGGGCTGTGGTGAATGGAGATTACATATGGAGTTTCTTTTTGGAGTGAAGGAAATGTTCTAAAATTAGATTGTGGCAATAACTGCACAACTCTGTAAACATACAAAACCCACTGGACTGTATGCTTTAACAAGATGATATGTAAGTTATATCTCAATAAAACTTTAAAAAATAATGGCTGCAATCCAACAAATTGATTTTACAGTCCTAGATTGTCATGACACAGTTGACAATCACTGTCGTGAGGCCCACTTCATTCCCTTTTCCCATGCCTGTCCTCTTCCTGAGAATCACACTTACCTGGGATGGAAGACTGCAGTCTGTGGGTGGGCAGAGAGACAGACAGCAAGATGGAGAGGGGTAAAGGCGAGGATGGAGGAATGAAAGCCATCTGCGGTGCGATTTCCATCACTCTCCTTCTCCATTTAAGGAATCTTGATTTCATTTGGGGGCAGCCATTTGTTCAGCTAAAACACTACTTTTCTCACCCCTATCAGCTCAACCAAAACCAAACCAAACTCATAAAGTGAGTTCATTCCAACTTGTAACAATCCTACAGGACAGAGTAGAACTGCTTCTTAGGATTTCTGAGACTGTAAATCTTTATAGGAACAGTTTCCTCTTTCTCCCTTGGGGTGATTAGTGAGTTTCAACCATTGACCTTGTGGTTGGCAACTCAATGTCAACCCAGTTCTTAACCCATGGCACATCAGGGATCCTTGTACCAGTTAAAGGAGGCCAATGATATATACCAGAAGCCTTTGGGTGAGGTTTCTGGGAGGCCTCTGTAAAGGACCTGTTGGCTCAGTCAGGCCGGGTGCCTTTTCTTGTGTCTCTAATTCAGACATGATGGCTCAGTCTCCAGAAACTATCTTGTGACCCTGGGGATGGAATATAGCACAAAGGCTGGTGGGTCTCTGATGCTGTCTTGAGGTCACTTGGGTTGGCTACCTGTGCACATCTTTTACATGACAGAATAAATTCCTTCGCTTAAACTACTAAGTTGAACTTTGGATACTAGCAGCCCAAGGAATTTCTAAAAAGTATTCAAAAACCCTACTGTCATTCAGTCGATTCTGACTCATGGTAACGCCATGTGTTACAGAGTATAACTGCTCTACGGGATTTTCTTAGCTTTACAGAAACGGATGACCATGCTTTTCTTACATGGTACCACCTAGGTGGGTCTGAACAGTTAATCTTTAGGTTACCAGTTCAGTGCAAATTGTTTGCATCCCCTAGGGGTCGTTCTAAAAAACAGACCATCTAAATGAACACAAACTCCATTCCATGGAGCCGAGTATAGAAATAGCAGTCATTCTCCCACCTCCCTCATTTTCAGGAAGAACTTCTCCATGCTTCCACCTCTATAGGGAAATGAGGATCCAGTTACCTTGTGATTTTAAATATCCGCAGCAGCCGGACACATCTCAGCACAGAGATGCCCAGGGGGGACATGATCTTGGTTTCCACTAGGATAGTCTCCAGGATGCCCCCACACACAATGAAGCAGTCGAAGCGGTTGAAGAGGGACACGAAATAGGCCTGCAGGCCCAGGCTATACATCTTTAGAAGCATTTCTGCAGTGAAGAGGGCCAGCAATGCCTTATTGGCAGTATCTGGAAGGTTCAGGAGAGGGATCGGACCCAAGTAGGCATCACAGGAGGGCAAAGAGGGAGGAGGAGAAAGAAACCACAGTAATTATTTATTATCAGTGTTGGAAAAAGGCCTGAACACTCTTCCCACTTATGACACCTCTGCCATTCATCCCTAGCCAGAGCAGAATAAGGAATCTAATTACCATAAGAAGCATTCATTGAGCATTTACCAGTGAGTTGACTGACTCATAGTGACCCCAAGTGTATCAGAGCAGAACTTTGCTCTATAGGGTTTTTCATTGGTTTATGTTTGAAGAGTCCACTGGGTGGACTTGAACTGCCAACCTTTTGATTGGAAGTTGATGCATTCATTGCCTGCACTTGATGTATCAAAGGCTTTACAATGTCTTGTATTCCTTACTTCTCCCATCAGTTCTATAAAGCAGGTACTGATAGCATCATGCCAATTTTTTATAACTGAAAGCCAGGTGGTCTGGGTTTGACCTCTTCACTCTTAGACACAACTGTCTCCTGGGATGACAGAGCACAGTCCCAGTGCAGGGGCCATGTGTGCTTAGCACCCAGGAGACACAGTGAGGCACTGGTTAGCATAGTCTAGGAAGGGTGAAGGGCTCTACCTACTCAGTGAGAACAGGCCACCACTTTCCTCTTCCTTGCCTTTCTGCACCCGAGGCACTGAAAATCCATTTCAGGAAGTCAGAAGCCAAGGGTCTGATAGAGACAAACAGGTCGTAGCTTATGTCCTGGTCACCTGGACCCCACAGTGACCACTGGGGCAGACAGATGGTGTGGGACCAGCCAGTTAAGCCATGTCTATTTATAGCAAGGTCATGCATGCTAGTGTGGGTCTTGAGAGCTGCCAGACTCTTGGTGTCTCCAGCATGGCTCCTACCACAAGGCATGGCTACTGACAGGTCCACATCCCCAGGGGTTGGTTCAGGGATGACTTAGCAAGAGTAAACTAAGACAGAGCCAGGGTAAAACTCTCACCTTGGACTTCTGTGAGCCAGTGGGGCTGGTTGTAATGCTCAGAAGCAATGGTGAGTGTGTTAAGGAATACCAGGAAAATCACGAGCCAGTAGAAAACATTAGACTTGACTGCAGCACGGCACTTTCTTCGGCAGAACCGATTCCACCGGCGCCAGTAGCGGCTGGAAAGGGGGCAAGGAGAGAAGGATGGGAGGTGGCTGTGAAGTCAGGTTTCTTTCAACTTGAAACTCACCACAATGGCTTCCCGTCCCCTATCACTGCCCTGGGCCTTATTCCCCAGCAAGTCAGTGGTGAGGAGAGAGCTTTCCCATCCTCTGAGCTTGGCTCTGGAACCTAGTTGTATGGCTTTGGGCATGTGTCTGAAATTCTCTAAGAACCTATTTTCTTATCTGTGAAACAGGGATAGCACTAACCTCATTGGGTTGCTGTGGGGATTTAAAAATAGTCATATAATGTCTCTGGCATAAAGTTGAAGGTATCCATTACATGGGGAATAGTTTTATTTTCTAATAATGGCATTAACATTGTTAGCATGAAAAGTATAGTTAGTCATAGTGATGGTGATAGTGAGAGGGCTAGCAATGAGTCCTTCATATAGATCATGTGCCAGACTGGGCGCTTCTTAAACCTTCTCCCTAATTCTTTAACTCCAAAGAGCAGATATTATCCTGATTCTGTAGATGCAGAAACTAAGCTTAGAGGGGATGAGCTAACTTGTTCCTCACTTGATGCTATCTCTGAGATAAAGTGTAAGGGTTATCCTGGGCCAGAGGTTCTTTGCTTCTAGAGTTTTTAAAAAATCTGATGAATATTTAGATCTTCTTTTTAAAAAAAGAGAAAACATCCACACATACATGCACCTTTACATACAGGTTCACATACTACATGGTGCCCTAAGCTCATCCATGGTCCATGTAATGATCCCCATGGTCTCTTAGTTGGAAACTTTTGTCAGTTATACTCAGACCCAAGTATACATATAATTATCGGAGGAAGCTTCAAAACACAAACAAAAAACACAAACAAACAACCCACCAGTACTCAGACCCCACTCTGAAACAAACTAAATCCATTGTTTGGAAGTGGCCTTAGTCATTAGAACTTTTAAAGTTCCATTGTTGTTGTTATGTGCCGTAGAGTCAGTTCTGACATATAGCAAGACCTTGCACAGGGTTTCCAAGGCTGTAAATCGTTATGGGAGCAGAAATCCTCATCTTTCTCCCATGGAACAGCTGGTAGTTTCAAACTGCTGACCTTGAGGTTAGCAGCCCAATTCGTAACCACTACACTACCAGAGCTCCTTAGGTAGTTCTAAATGTGCAGCCATGGCCAAGAACCATGAAGTTGCATGTTCTCCAAGAGTGCTATGATGCTTTGGCAGAGGAGTTTACAGTTTGCCCCCAGTCTTAACCTCTTGGTACAGAAAACCATGTGATGACTCAGTTGACCAAACATCATATAAATGTTCCTTCCACAAAGAAGGAAGATAATGCTGGAAAGGTGTTTGGAGGTAGAGAGTCATGGTAAGGACTTTAAGAGGAGGAATCACATGGCTGAATTTGGTTTTAGGAAAACCAAACAACCACTCTGTCAACTTCTTGATCAGGGATATGAGAAATGTTCTTCCAGTCATCTGGGTTAGAGAGGACTTCCAGAGCTCCTTAGGATGAAGCTAGCAGCTTTATTAACAGAAAAGAGGACAGTGACTAGGAAGTAGTTAGGAAAGCAGAATCAGTAGGTCTTTGCCTTGACTCGATGTGGAGGAAAATAGAGAAAGGTATGTAAGGGATTGCCAACTTTCCCAGCTGGGTGACTTGGAAGAGTAGAGCCCTTAACCTAGATAGAGACAGAGGAGGAAGAGCAATGGTCAGGCAAGGAGTTCAGCTGTGTGGAGAAAGGGGGTGGTTTAGCTTTGGAAATGATGTGTTTCCAATGCTGCAGGTCACGATTGTAGAGAGACTCCCAAACAGTTGAAGATGGGACTCCTGTTGGGGCAGCAAAGAAGGCAGGAGGAAAACCAAAGCGCAACACTCCATGATTATCTATCCTTTCCAATAAAAGGACCTCCTTTTCATGGATCTCCTCAGTCTAGACAGACACTCCTCTACATAAGCCTTCAGGATCTGCCTCAGAGCAGAGTTTTTCAAACCTTACACAGTAATCCATTTGTGGGTCATGAAATCTATCTAATAGGTCATGACTGGCACTGAAAAAAAAAAAAAAGAAGAAGAAACTAAAAGGAGTACAGAAAATATCAGCGTGTATAACATTTAATAAGGAAAAGCACTTTTATTTTTAAAATAAAACTTGTTTTAGGTCTGTGTGGGTTTGTTTATACAAGGACAGGATATAAATTGTATTTATTATTGTGGATTGTGGTTAATAAAAAGGGGTTAAAGCTCATGAAAACTGGCCTTCTATGTTAGGATCCCACATTCTAAATTTCGAGTCCACAGCATGAGTCTGCATCTCCAATCTTCTGGTTCGAGACCAGGTAAGATTGTCTACTGTCATCTCCTCTGTAGGGCTTTGGGGGAGCATCACTCCTCATTTCTGTGAAAATGTGTTTCTGCGTTTGGCAAGTCATCTACAAAGATGAGTTTGGCATGTCATGTGATATCATAGACACTGTGGTCCAAAGTGGGCACAGGGCTAGTTATATGTGTTTCATGTTATTCCCATCAGTCTTAGCCTTCTTCTTCCAGAGTGGAAGAATCTCCAAACATCATCAATGCCAGGTTGCTACCCAAACAAAAATCAAATCCACTGCTGTCAATTCTGGTTCATGGTACTCCATGTTTTACAGAAATGGTTCCAAAGGGTTTCCTTAGCTGTCATTTTTATGGAAAGAGATTGTCCCAGGTCTTTCTTGTCTGGTGCCATTGAGTGGGCTCAAACCATTAATGTCTAGGTTGGTTGTTGTTGTTAAGTGCCATTGAATCGGTACCGACCCATAGCAACCCAATGCACAACAGAACGAAACACTGCTTAGTCCAGGGCCAACCTCACAATCATTGCTATGCTTGAGCCTATTGATGCTGCCGCTTTGCCAATCCATTTTGCTGGGGTTCTTCCTCTTTTTCTCTGACTCTTCACTTTACCAAATGTGATCTCCTTCTCCAGTGACTGGTCCCTCCTGACAATATATCTGAAGTATCAGAGACCAAGTCTGGTCATCCTGGCTTCCAAGGAGCACTGTGGCTGTACTTCTTCCAACACAGATCTGTATGTTCTTCTGATAGTCCATGGTACTTTCAGTAATCTCCTAGGACACCATAACTCAAATGCATCAATTCTTCTACAGTCTTCCTTATTCACTGTCTAGCTTTCACATGCAGATGAGGTTACTGAAAATACCATGGCTTGGGTCATACTAGGTTGGTAGTAAAGCACACACCTTGTAGTTTGGGTTTCCTGGGGACCTCCAGGATGCCAGGGACAATGAGTAGTATGACTTTGCAGGGGTGGAGACCTCTGCCGCTATGGATCCCTAAACTGCTCTCTGAGATAGTTTGACCTCATTCATATGTCTATTCTGTCAGTTTTCTACATACTGCCTGTTGAAAATCCTGCTAACAATTCTAAGCTGAAATCTACTATAAATGACGAGTATTTTTGTCCATCAGAACTTCAGAGAATTGAGTTCTGGGCTTGAAGAAGATGGGGAGAAAAAGAGAATTAATCTGTGTAGTGTTCTTATCTGACCCCTACATCACTGTAGGTGCTTGAATGCCACCTACACTGAATGCCAAATCTTTGCCGTTGACACTTGCTATTTGAGGAAATTCACTACACAGAGAAGAAATATTCCTGGGTCAGACAATTGTGGTTTCCAAAGGCATTTTGGTATGTTTGCATCCTCCAGAATACCCTAAAAGTCAGGATGGAGGAAGGGGAGGAGAGGGGCATAGCAATAAGACAAGTCCCCAGCGATCTTTGTTGCTGTTGTTAAGTGCACTGTATAGGGTTTCTAAGGAGTGGCTAGTGGGTTTGAACTGCTGACCAGCAGTTCACTGCTTATCCTACAGCATCATACTGGGACTTCTTAGTAAGAGGCAATCTCTAGAGTTTGCCAAATCTTGATACTGTGAGGTCTTAGCTGCTTCTTTTCTGTTATTATGATTAATAATAGTGTAGAGACCTTTTTTGTTTACTTTCTTTTTCCTGAAATGTGAATTTTCAGGACAAACTTTTTTATAAGCTCATGAGTTCAAAAAGTGAACTCACCTCTGTAAAGCTGAAGTATGGAAAAGTCAATTTGATGGTACAGGTTACATGATTCCTTCATATCTGATTTCAAACATATAACTTATATAGCAGTTACAAAGTATATGTTTTAACTAGATACAAGCTTATATTATAGAAATCACTGATAATTGCTATTCAGAATTCTAAGTAATCCATGTTGCTTTCTTTAACAGTTTCCTTTGGAAGACTTGATTAAGGCCCTCTCCTCACCAAGTTTGGGGTAGTTAATGCAGTACTGTGTGGCACGTGGGTCTGGAACGAGTTTCTTCGAACCCTTGCAGGTATGACTATGATGTATGGCATCCTGATACATTGAGCTGTTTCTGGGCCTAGCCATTCCCGGAGTCACATGGATTGGGGCTGGGGTGGGGGTGGGGTAATTACTATCCAGGGAAAGTATTTAAAGATAATTACACACCTCCCACTCTTCAAAATATAGCTTTGCTTGACAACTGGTTTCCTGGCAACGCTTCCTACTGTATAATAAATGTAATAGTTTATTAGAATGTGTAAATTTATTTGTGTGTTTACATATTCATGGAGGATATAGAAATTAAATAATAAAATAGGGAGGAGAAATTTGCCTGCTATTCATGTTCCCTTCACACTAAACGGAAAAGGCATTTACTCCAGAAATAGAACTTTCCATATGTAGACACAGAAGAGAAGGATAGATACGAATGTGTTTAATCGACTTCTCTAAACTTTTGCATTATTACATTCCTCGGCCAATCTCTGCTCCTGCACCCTGGATATGCCTGGCCCATTCCCCATGTTGAGCCATTCTGTCTACATGGAATGTCTTTCTACGATTCTGTCTCCACAAGCAGCTGGTGGGTTTGAACCACTGACCTTATGGTTAGCGGTCTAGTGCTTATCCTACAGTGCCACACCAGGCTCCAATTACATATTGAGATGGGAGTATTTTAGATATATTGGGCTAACTATATTTTAAGCTTGATTTCACTTATTATTTTTTAAAATGTGTCTACCAGAGTACGGAGGTAGTTCTTAAACAAAATCTGAGTTCTTTAGGTGAAGACATGGGGTCTGGTGATTCAGGTAAGAGAAAGGCTATATAAAAAGGCATCACTGTGTGAAAAATCAAGGAATATTTGAGTAGTTGTAAAAAGTTCCATGTGGTTTGAACAAAGTATGTAAAGGGGAACAGAAAAGATGAGGTTAGAAAGTCAGACTGGGGACTGCAGACTATGGAGTCCTATGGTCTGAAGCAGAACAGGGTCATAAACAATGTGCTTTCCATAACACTGAAAGTTCATATCACAGTGTTCCACTGACAGGAAGCAGGTAACAAGTCTTCACTTCATGTCTACCTAACCTGGATTTCACCTTGTAAAGGAAGAAGCCAATTTTGTCTCAGAATCGCCTACAGACAGTGTTGCCAAAAGGATGAACAGTCACAGAGAATTCAACAAAATCAAAGTATTTGTTTGATCTGACTTCACAATCCTCTCACAGATTATTTTACTTGAAGGTGAATATATTAGTAACAAAACCACTGGCCATTTCAACGACCTTTATGTGTCCAATTCACTGACCTATGTCCATCATGCTGCTCAGCCAGCACTCTTAACCATTCCAAATTTGTTGATAACCACACAAAAATAAAGCAGTTACCTCCTTAGAAGGGCGCCTCCTATTCGTCTCCACCCCCTAACTAGTAGATATTATCTTGGACCATCCACAAAGGTAGCAGAGAACAGAGTTTGGACATGGAAAAGCATCGCACTCACCTGAACTTTGATTTGGAGATCCGGTGTCTGAAAGAGAAGACAGAAATGTCACCAAATAATATACAAACACTTTTTTCCACTTAAAACATGTTCAACAATTCTAGGGTTGTCTGAAGTAACTGAAGCCCTTGGTAACTAACTACAGATGGGGACTTCAAAAGTTCATGGAAAAATTCTATTATCTTTTCATTCCATTTTTCCATGCATCTTTTGAAGACCTCTCGTCTATAGGTAATGTGCGGTATGAACTGGAATAACCTTGGACAGAGAGAAGCCTATTTGTCAGTATTTCCTGGTGTGCTTGTGTGTTTGAACACAAAGGCAGAGAATTGGTCCAGAAGCTACATCTACAAATATATCTTCTGAGTGTCAGCCCTCCTTGGAGAGGGACAGTATTATGTTCTCAGATTACCAAGACCCATCCAGCAAGAAATGTGTTAGGAAGACAGCATCTTGGTCAGTTACTAAGAAGAGTCATAGGAGGAGGAAGGTCTTTCTCCTGAAGATGGGAGCATCTCACCAGCAGAAAAATCTCAGGCAGAAGCACAGGGCATAGACCCCACTACTACATGCCCAGGAGTTCAGCATAAGCTGGGTTATGAAGTGAAGACAAGGCAGAGGGAGACAGCTGGAAATGGAGAAGCATCTACAAACCTGGCCCAATAGCTATAAACTTGGTCTACAGAAATAGCTGTTGGTTACGAGGAGCATCTCAGGATTCTGCCAGGCATGTGCAACCTGAGACCTGGGGGACTTCTAGGCAAAACACAGAGCAGGCATGGTGGTGGCTACCTCAAAGGTCATTGTGTGGGAAGGGGTGGTTCCTCTGAAAGGGGGCGATTTTCAAGGAGGCCTGGGACCCTCTGGCTTATATAAGAAAGAGTTCAGGTGAGACTTGAAGGCGTAAGAGGTTGGAGAAGAGAGTCAGAGAGGGAGGGAGATTGTAAAATGAAGTGTAGAGGAGGGGAGAGTGAGGAAGAGAGCAAAAATGTAAGCCCTTGAGCCAAAGAGATTTGAAGGCAACCAATCAGAAATGGCTTGACTATTAACAGGAGGAGTGGCCATTAGAGAGATTTCAGGTGGAGCAACAAGGCTCAGATGGACAAGCAGAAAGACCCGGCATGCAGTTACAGATAAAGAAAGATGGAGACAGGCAGAGAGACAAGGAAAGATGTGGAGAGAAAACAGGCAAGGTGAGTCTGTGCTGCCCCAGCTCTGCTCAACGTGAGCTGTGTTGCATAGGAAGAAAACACCAACCCCTCTAGTTATTTTTCATTTTAAAAAATTAAACCAGAAGATGTGACAGGTGGCAAAGCCATCGTGCATGAGATAATTATATCTCTGGGGCACTAAGGATCAGAGCCAAGTGCCTTTACTGCTCTGAACCGTTAGCTAATAACCTTTTCCCACCCCCAAAGACTGCCTGCTAGGGCTGGAGGATTTAATCACATGTTAACAAAGAGAGTGGGAGGGAAACTGGGAGCCAAGGGCAGAATTTTTATTTAGAGCCACAGTTTAATGGGGGAAACAAATATTTTCCAGCTGCTAATTGGGTGATGGGGAATCCGGAGTACCCTCCTCTCCAGCGGGGCCATCCTGAGCTTGGGGCCTTCCCTAGGCTTGCCTCTCCTTGCTGTTGTTGTTAAGTACCATGGAGTCGATTCCGACTCATAGTGACCCTGCACAGGGTTTCCGAGGCTGCAAGTCTTTACGGGAGCAGAAACCCTCATCTTTCTCCCACAGAACAGCTGGTAGTTTCGAACTGTCGACCTTGAGGTTAGCAGCCTGATTCGTAACCACTACGATACCAGAGTTCCTTCTCCTTGCTGTTTAACAAACAAAAGTAGATGACCTTGGTCTTTAGTCTGTTTCCAAAGTCTGGCCTCAGCTCTGGATGCGTCTCAGAAATTTCTCAGTGAACCTCTCTGGGGTGCTCTTCTGTTCAAACCATTTGTCCACCTCTCTAAGGCTGTCTCCAGGTGGGTTACCTTTAAGCAAAAGTGGGTTTCCATAAGCCTGGATGTTCAGTTCGCCCAAGGGAATGGCCTCTGGGATGTGGGCCCATGGAAGAACTGAGCTGGGGTGATAGTTTGGAGTGAAGTCTACTTTAAGCATATTCAATGAGTAGGAGTCCTTTCTTAGCCTTATAGCACATTCTGAGCAGCAGGAAATGAAGCAAGACCACCTTTTCCACTTACTTACAGTCCTGATGTATAACCACCGACACTATACTTGCAAATTAATTTTGTTGTTGTTCTCAGGGGATCGTGATCATAATTTTAGGTTCACTGGCTCTGAAACACTGATTCCTTTTTAAGACCGGTAAATCTTTTAAAAGATCATTATTTATAAGTAATCAACAGAAATGTTAATCATCATAATCCCCAAGAAGGAAGAAGGCATTGCTCATGTGGTATTTATCTGAATACAAAAGAAAACACCAGGTCCTCGGAGAGCTGGGGTTAGAATTCTTTGTAAAAGTTGGTATGTTTTTATTCTTTTGTACTCTAGTTATCCAGGTCAGGGCCTCACTTCCTGGGAGGTGACCATAGACTCAGTGTTTGGAAAAGCGGGTCTGTCTCACTATGTAAGCCAACTGGGGAGCATGTGTATGTCTTGGATTCATGTTTTCACTTCTCTCCTAGAGTGAAATTTACAAAGGCAAAGAGTCTTCAAAACAGCAGAGACTACCAGCTTCTCCTAACCACACTAGGGTGTGCACACCTTGCTCAGAAGCGTTCTTGGTTTTATCCATCATTATTATCCTAGTGATGGGGCAATTCCTCCCTAGTGTTTTAAGTGGATTATTGAAGAAGAGCATGGAGAAAGAAAAAGTTATGAACCAAGACATAAGACCATTAAAACAGCTCCACTTGGTTGGGCCTGAAGTTCATTCAACACAGAATATTTTTTCTGACCAGTCTTCCAAGACAAACCTTCGGGGACACCATGGTTTTCTTCACTGATATTAAAATTCAAAATTAGAGACAGACTCCAAAACTCTTTTTTGTTTTGCTTACTCAATTTGCACTTGCCATTATTTGACAAATATTTGAACTTCTTGGGAGCTTACAGTAATGAGCGCCATATGTTTACTACCTGCTGTGTGAAACAATATTTCCCTAAGTTGTCCCAAATTTGCCTTTAATACAAGTCAGATGGCACTGTAGTCAATCACCCACCATCTATGACAACACTTGTGACTCAGCCTCCTTGCCTCCATGACTTCGTCACCACCCACAGCCATTATTACAAGAAGGTCAAATCCTAGACCTTCTCATTATATAGCATTGTTTTCAACTACTGAGTGTTGAATTTAATACACATCTCTGACCAGAGTTTCCTCGTCTAGTATCCTTTGCCCTCACCAGAGCCTTCCAATCACACACCCTCTTCTAAGGCTCCAGGATAACACCAGAGTTGAGTTCTAGTACTCAGCTTGGTCCACGTTCATGTCAACAGTGCCCTCAATACCATGCAGGCTCCCATCCTGGCTGGGTCTACTATTGGACCTGCCTGGCAACACTGGTTCACACCAGTGTTTGGCTTTAGTGCTCCCAGTCTACAGAGGCTACCAAAAATTGTGTCAAATTGTCTTGATAGGCTGACTCTACATTTATGATGCCAGTTTCCATTGTGGCTTTGCTTAGCAGTCTTCTTAGTGGTTCTCAGTGACTTACTAGCTTGAATCTTCTGTCTTATCCTTCAAGTTCCTATGACACTTGAACTTCACTTTCTACGATGGGATGACTGAGGTCATTTTCTATGACTCTCATCACTGACCTTCTTCATTGAAGCTTGTTTCTGAGGTTGTATCTTCTACAGAACTATAGGCTTTATGAGCTAGAAGGGACCCTTAGATATCATCTGGACCTATGGTTATAATTTTTACGTTGTAGAGTACTTTATCCATATGAAATCTCACATGGAAGTCCAATACATAAAAGGAATGAAAATGGTCCCCCTTCTGTGACCCCTCCAGGGCTGTACTGAGAGCACATTAAAGCCAATGATGAGTCAAAACCCTTTACGTTTCTCAGAGGAAGAGACTGGGAATCAAAGCAGAAGTACTTAGGCCAAGATCACATAGCTAGTTGGTAGATGACTGGGGCTAGACTCCAGGACTCCTGAAGCCATATCTCTTTTTTCATACTACGCTTAGTTACAGTGGTAAATGAGCTTCTTCTCTCTGTGTACATTTAGTGCCTTAATCTATGTCCTTAACATCAATCTTCTCTCCTGTAGTAGTTTCTTCCTAAACTTCTTCACTTCCTCTCTGGCTTCTTTAGTTTCTCTCTCTTTACTGGACTTTTTATTGCCCTAGTTTTTACTAGGTTGAAAAGTAACCCTTCATTCCTTCATCATCACTACCTCCTCTTTATGCTACCCAATTTTCTCCTCCACTTTTCATGGTCTAGTTTTTACAGTGGGTGTTGTATGCTGACTCATTTCCTCTCATTCCATCACTGAGATATCATCTGGACCATTATCAGTGTATGCTGGCGTATTGAGGAGTATGTCTTCAGAATACCCAAATAATCTACCACTTCTTTCCATCTTCACTGTCATGACCCCAGTTTGAGTCGTCGTCGTCGTCATCATCATCATCATCATCATCATCGTCATCATCTTGTACCTGTATAAAGCAGCTACTGCGGCTTCACTTCTCTTTTAGCTTCCGATTGGTCTCCCTTCTACCCATTCTCCTAACATCAAAGTGATGCTTCAAGAATGCAAACAAACCATATCAATCTCCACACTCTGTCCCACAAGCTTCAGACCCTTTAATGATTTCTTAAACCCATGATAAAGATCAAAACTGTTTAGATGTCCACCAGGCACTGTCCAATCTCTAACTTCATCTTCCCTACTCTCCACTTACTCACTGCTCTGGCCACAATGGCCTTCTGTTAGTTCTTCCACTCAAGGGCCAGAGCACACATAATTCCTTCTTTGGGGACATTTTCCCTTCTTCTTCATACCAGTAATTTATGTTAACATTTCAGTTCTCAGCTTACATTTAAATTCTTCAAATGTAAGAATTTCTTCAAATTACATTTCTTCAAATGTAAGCTGTTTCGTGACCTCTGCTATTAAGTTCACATTAACTATCTAGTTTTCTCCTTAATCCCTATTTTAATTTGTAATGTTCTATCTATGTTTGGCTCTGTATGAAAAGCACTGACTGGACTTTGAACCACAAGGATGGCGGTTCAAGTCCACCAGCTACTCCATGGGAGAAGGATGAGGCTTTCTGCTCCTGCAAACATTTACAGCCTCGGAAACACTACACAAGTCACTGTGAGTTAGAACTGACTCCATGGATATTAACAACAGCAATCTATTTGTCTAATGCCACTTGTGCACTGATGATGTCAATTTTCCTTACTACTGGTACCAAACTTGGCACACCATTGAACAAATAGATAGCTCTGTCTTGAAATTCCTTCTCCCTTGGCTTCTAGGACACCCCTTTATCTACTTCTCTGCAAAAAACTGTTGTTCTATGATTTCATTTATCATTTTTTAACTGATACCCTCAGTTGTGTGTGTGTGTTTCTTTTCAGAGCTGAGCCTTGGCCCTCCATATCCTGCTGTCTAGAAATATCTACATCTTATCTGCAGAACCAGTCTTCTCAGACTGAGCTCCACTTCAAAGTTATCTGCAGTACCATTGCCATTTTCTGTCTGCAAACTTTGATGGTTCCTTCCTATTCAACACCTCCCTTGCCCATTTGATCTCCTGCCTCCTGCCACCCAGGAGCCATCTTCATCTGCTGCTGCTGCTGCTGTGTGCTGTGGAGTCGGTTCCGACTCATAGCGACCCTGTACAGGGTTTCTGAGGCTATAAATCTTTATGGGAGCAGAACGTCTCATCTTTCTCCCATGGAACAGCTGGTAGTTTCAAACTGCTGACCTTAATGTTCACAGACCGATTTGTAACCACTACACCCTCAATTTATATGAAGGGGCTTCAAAAAGTTCATGGAAAAGTTCCATTATTTTTTAATTCTATTTTCCATAAACTTTCTGAAGTCTCCTTGTATAAATCCTCATCCGAGCTCATTTTCCTACGTAAGCCTTTTAACTCTGAACTTAAACATGCTGGTGTATCACTCTATCCTCAGAACATCAGACAATCTCAGCTCCCTGCCTGTTCTCATGCTGATTATCCTACAAGGAATGTTGGCAGAGTCTTATTCCATTATTGTCTGCAGGGTATGGGGATATGGAGGAAGACCACAATTTATTACACACATATTCTAACTCTGGCACTGTGACCAGGTCTTTTGAATACACAGAGTTGGTGAAGAAGTGTGGAAATTCACAGAGATAGCAATACAGGAACACTACTCTACAGAGCTCCTCTAAACTGGAAGACTGCATCCTTCCAAGGACATCACAGATACACTAGAGACTCCAGCTTCCTTCAATTGTGGACCATCATGTTCTCTTTCCAACACAGCTTTCATGTGCTCCTGAAATGTTCTCTCAAGTGTCCTCCTGGTACCAGCTCCCCACTCCCTCCTGATCTCCCACTTGGGCTATGCTTGAAAACCAGAGATATAGGGTTCTTGATCACCCAACAGAGGCCTCCTTCTTGGCGATAAGACAACCCAAAGGCCTAGAACTGATGATATTCAAAGACTTCCTATATTCCTTTCCTTAATGTTTCTGTCTGGGGCTGACTTCCAGAAACTCAAAAGCTTGTTTTGTATGATTCCAACAGAAGAAAAGAGGAAAAAGCCTTGGACTGTTCCTTAAAAATGTAATTAGCACTGTATTTTAGCCACATTTTGACAATAATTGCTTCCCAACAATGCTGAGAAATCTGCAGTACAGACTCCCTGGTGCTACTGTCAGAGTGAGTAATACTGAGGCCCTGTATACCCTGGAAATAGAGGCTGCACGAGCCTCTATGGTTTCTTCCGAAGTTTTGTTTTCCCTTCTCCTTTGGTTCAGAGGCCATTCTTGGGGCTGGCATTGCCTATAGCAATGGTAAGGTTTAGCCTTACCTATAGCTTACTATTTGGGGCTGGGGTTTACTCAGATTATTGAGCCACTGCAAGAGGAAGGGTGAAATAAGATGCTAACCCATTGACAGAATGTGTAGAAACTGATTTCATTTAGGACTGACCCTACTTAAGGCGAGTTTGTAGTCCCCATATCCCAAGTGGAGACTTCCAAAAGTGTAATGAGAGTGCTCTAGGAGGCCTCATGTTCAAGGTCATTTTGTTTTCTGGGCCACTGGTAATTAAATCATCAGCCTGTTTATTATTATTTTTTAAGCAATTAAGCCTTTTCTTACTTTTTCACTTTTTTTTTTCTGGGAGAGGGACATTTCACAGAGACTGATTTCCATTTTGAAGACTGAACTAAGATGGGGTGATTGTGATAATCTCGGTAGGAACAGTTCCTGTTGACATTGACACATCAAAGACAGGGACTAGGATCTGACCCAGAGGACAGGCACATGTAGACTCTACACATGGGCGTATGCTGGAGCTGGGGACTGACTATACAGGCTAAGAACAGGTGAGCTTTCAAATTAACTCAAGTTTGCATTGCCAACACCTCTGTTTCCCTTTGTTAAATGGTTCCCTTAGAATTGCAGTGAGAACCAACATGTTTATCATCTTCCCAGTGTCTTGTCTTACCTGTGTGCTTTTCTCTCAGGTCACATTTGTCTGAATGGAAAGAATGGTCAGCAGGACCCAGGGGGACTAACCTAGTCATCTCTTGTGAAAAAGGGAGGAAGGGGCTGGGAAGAAACTGGCTTCAGAGCTCCTTCCCCACATTTCGTATTTCTTGGATGTGATGAGCCCAAATCAATTGCTGTTGAATTGACTCTGACTCATTGAGACCCCAAGTATGTCAGAATAGAAATGTGCTCAGTGGGTCTGCAATGGCTGATTTTTTTGGAAGTAGATTTCTAGACCTTTCTCTAAGGCCCCTCTGGGTAAACTCAAATCTTTTGGTTAGCAGGAGCTCAAAATCCAAGAGCCAGACCCTCACAGGAATGCTGAATTGAGGCCTTACCCTCATGCCTAGGTGCCATACTCAACCTTGAGGCCCTCCTTACTTCCATATAGGTTACTACCTGAGGTTTCTGTCTTGTTGCCCCTGCATTCTCTGGCCCTCCTAATGAGGATCCAGCCCCAAGTGACATCAGGATGCAACTTCTCTGCCTGTACCTGAGGAAAAGCCCCAGCCCCTGGGTTCGCCGTGCCTACTCACGCCAGCCTGGCCCCGCAGTTTTCTCCCTCGATGTCACCTCCAGCCACATTTTCAGTGTTGACAGATTCTGTCTCACTTGTGGGCATGCTCACTGTAAGAGTCAAAGGGATGAAGAGCAAGGCATTGAGGACGGGGAGAACAAAAGAATAAAAGAGAGTTAGTTCACAATACACCCAGTACAGAGGCTCAGTGAAAACAGAGATCCTGGGCAGCATCTGCCAACTGGTCAGGGGCTGCTGCTGTAAGCGGGTCGAGGCCCTGGCCCTGCTGTAGCCAGGTTTAGGGATTTCCTTGACTCATACACTTGTTGCTTGTTCATGGTAAGTTTTACTACCAAGGACATTGTAAACTAGTGGAAATGTGAGGGAACATCTGGTGATAAGATCATTTCATCTGGAAAAACTGACTATTGGCTTCTTTTCTCTACCCTCAACTCTATGCCCTCCGTATGTAGGTAAGTAGACACACCTCCCAATGGTGGAAGCTCCATTTGCATCCAATGCTTGTCATAAAAAGAGAAGCTTTCATGAAAATATTTTCTTCTTTTTCTCTCCACCCATCAATTCTAAGGCTCCATCCCTAAACTTCACGCTGAGTTGTTTTGTGGAAAAGGCATTCATGCTGCGGGCATCAACAATCAGCTGGATTTGGAGGACTGGTTTCTTTTCCTTCAGTATCTGTTGGGTCTTGACTCTCTTATATCTAGGGACTTAGCTGAAATAGAACTTAAATTGAATGCTTTTGACCAGAAGCATGCACTAAGATTCAAATCAGCACAGCAGACATCAGGAATGGAGAACATAAATATGGAAACCACAAAATTAAATTTATACATGGCCTGAGTAAAGCCTGCAGGTATATTCCTCTACTTTCCAGCAATCTTGACACTCCAGTCTCAACTCAAGGTTGAGTTGGAACAGAAATCATCTAACTTGACTATAACTTTTCCAGTCAACATCCAGACTCTTTCCAAAGCAATAGTGTGTTGGAATTCCAGAGCAGTGGGAGTTTTCTACCTTGGAAACCAGCTTGGTGGGTTCTTTTAATGTTTGTTCTTATTTCAAAGAAAAGTTCAACTCAAGAAAATCCTTCTTCTTCTTCTTTACCTTCTATTGCCATTCAAATATGACACAATAATGAGTTCCTTAGTTTTGCCAAGTCCTGTTCTTTAGAATAGTCATTACATCACATTACATCATCAATTTGGGCTTAGTACTCCAATCAGAACAGAACTCCTCATCGGTGAGAAAATCACTGACCCTCAGCAGCCATAGAATCTGCAACTAGCAAGGGTGTGATATCAGATGAAGTGGAATCATGTGACATCAAGCGACAGGTTCCCGTGGAAAGACGTTACTGGTTATATGGATAATGTTGATGGGTATGGATGTTTCCATTGATTTTCTTTTGGATAGATGGGTGAGATTTATTTCAAGGACATGGAAGGTACAAATGGAAATCCCAGAACTTACCATATAATCAACTGCAGTGTAGAAGAGACCTCTACAACCTAGGACTCCTTTTCAGTAAGATTGGGTAAAAAGAAATCTAGATATCATTTCATAGAAGCTTAGAGCTGGATGGGACTTTAGAAACTATTCAGCTCTAACTTGCTGCCCTCACCTCACAAGAGAGGCAGAGGAGGCCCAGAGAAGGGCCTGGACACCCCAGGTCACACAGGACTGGGGCTGGAGCACAGGAATCACGGCCCCTGGCCCATGCTCATCTTGTTTGCTCCAGTGTTGACCAGCACTCTAATACATGTTGTTGTTATATGTTGTTGAGTTGGTTCCGACTCATAGCAATTCTGTCTGCATAGGGTTTCCGAAAGGGGCTGGTAGGTTTCAACTATCAACCTTTCAGTTACCAGTGTGATGCTTATCCTAGAGCGCTCCACCAGTGCTCTCCTTACTCTATACCCTAGGACAAAATGATGAAAGCTGAATGAGGCTCTGGGAGGTAGGACAGAAAGCTAGTGGCGTAGCAAAATTGTAGTTCAGAATTGTACAGTATTTCCCCACACTTGAAAGTTCCAAGTCTGAGGGAGCTTGCAAGAGTCACAGCCCTCTGAAGTAGTTTCAGCACTGGGATCTGGGGAGACAGATCTTCAGAGCCTGCCAGGGATCCGTGCTCCATCCACACTAATGAAAACAACTTAAAACTAAGGAGTCTGAAGTCTTTAACCACTTATCTCCAGCTATATCTGACCTAATGTTCCTTTACCTCTCTAGGCATTGTTGTTTGAAGGACTGAGCAGTCTATAAGAAATGATCTGCTTTTGTGACAGTTTGCTCTTATGTTCTAGTGGAGTGGTGTGAAGGTGGTGGTACTAGGCTTGGAATTAGGTATATCTTCTAAATCCAGGTATTGCCTGAAACAGTACCAAAATTTACATATATAGTGATGTCACTCTTGGCCAGCACTGTTCAAGTGAAGGGTTCCATCAAAGAACAGCTGTGCATGCTTGTCAAAGTTGGCTGACTTTCTCCATAGATGGCAATGGCTTTGAGTGGGGCAGGTCACCATCCCCCTTAAAATACACACACACATACAAACAAACACATACACATATATGCATATATCTGCACACACACATAAACAATGCTTCACAAACCATCAAGAGAAATACCCACCCATCCAGTCTGGTGTTTACCAGCACACATTTACACACACAGAGCACAGGGGAAGGAACATTACCATGGGTTTCTGTGGAGTGACTAAACCAAGCAAACTTCCCTTTCTTCTTATCAAGCAAGCCCGCCGGAGTGCCTCCTTTCACAGACAAGATGGTCAGTGTCAAGAACCAGGAACAAGACATCGATAGAGAGCATGCAGTCAGCCACGGGCAAAAGAAAGAAACAAGGAACTCAGCTTTCACATAGAACATCCGTTTTCATCTCCAAAAATAAACCAAACAATTTTTTAAACAGTAATAAACCAAAAACATATAAGAAAATATAACAAAATAGAACCAAAACCCCAAATCACATGACTTAACAACATGAAAGGGATGATGAACCCTGGGAGAAAGAACCACTCCTGCAGAAGTTTCCATGTACAATGGCTTCTCAATTTGGTAACTTTGAGGAGGGGTCTTCTTACAAGGGAGACACTGTTGGCCCCTGATGCCTGTTTAGGGACATGCCCCTATTAGAAGTTCGGTGGAAGCATTGCCAAAATCAAATTGCAGCCAGTGACCAGGTGAGGTGACTTTTTCCTAACATGGGACAATATTGAAAAACTTCTGAGTGTAATGAAATGAAGGCTTCCCTCACCACATACCACCCAATGGTGTCACCTGCAGGTGGTAAAAACAACCCATTGATCTACTTGTCCCTTTGACAAATGAGGTGGAAGTAATGATTTGATTTATGCTTCCCTTGTTGCATGTCTCAATTCAGAATGATAACAAAGCCAGTAAAATGAGCATCTCATGAGTCTTTCACTTGGATGTGCAAAGGAGTCCCCAAGTTTGTGTCTGCTCAGGTCATTTTCTTGGTGAACTAAAGCCCTAGCTAGTGATGGTAAGCCCTGAACATTGAGACCTTTTACACAGAAGCATTATCCAGCTTTTGTCCCCTTATCCAATACTGGCCCATCTTGACTAATTTTAGAAATCGCTGGATAATAACTGAAAACAATAGAAAGAGATTGATAAAAACATGGGAACATAATGCACAACTGAATTTGACCAGTGCAAGTCTTTCTTGTGGGCAAAGGAGGCAGCCACTGTGTGGAAAATGACTTGAGAAACATTTAAATAATTTCCCTTGATGGCTGAAAGTGATCTCCATTAGATTCATTCTTTTAGGCCAAGTCATATAACTATAGGCTGCTTGATGAAATGACAGTATCTCTCGATAGTAGTACATTGTTGTTGTTGTTAAGTGCCGTAGAGTAGTACATTAACATACTGTTATTATTGTGTGGAGTATTGGTGTGGTACTGTGGGTTAACGCGCTGGACTGCAAAGCCATTTGAACCACAAGGTTGGTGGTTCGAGCTCACCAGCCGCTCCTTGGAAACCCTATTCAGGGTCACTATGGGTCAGAAACAACTCAATAGCACTTAACAACAACACCATTGTTGTGTGCCATTGAGTCAGTTCTGACTCATAACCACCCTGTATAAGGCTTCCGAGAATGGCTGGTGGGTTTGAACTGCCCACAGTATGGTGAGTAGTTCAATGCTTATCCTACAGCATTACACCAGGGTTCACATTAACATATTCATGCCTATTAGTTTGTAGAAGCACCTTTCACTTAAGGGAATGAAGCAGATGAAGATGGGATTAGATGGCAGTATCATAGCTGATTGTTTCAGGAACTTAATGCCCTAGAGAGAAGGAATTGATTTCCTTCTTAGAAATCAAGTGTAGAAACTGTTGAAAGTTTCAGAATGGCAAATGCTGGATACTTAATATGGATGGGATGGAAAGCCCGATGCTTTCTCTGCCTGCAGAGTTGGTTGGAAACTAGAGCAGAAAGATGGTAAAGAACTTAGGTGCTCTACTGTACCTTTTCTCTAAAGGCAACTCACTCAATGCTCTTAGAAGTGAAACTTGATTGCCTACTCACCTGCAATGTCATGGTAACACACCATGTATAGAAGAAATGTGCTTTACTGAATGGATTTATGAGCAAGGAGGTTAGAGAGGAAGTCGGCTTTCTGACTTCGCAACATCACTGTTACCAAATACCATGGGGTCAATTATGGGTCTCTGGGTCCCCCTGTCTTTTTGCTTTCTGCTTAGAAGATCCCCAAAGAAGATGAGATTACAGTGCAAGAGTAATTAACAAACACCATCGCAGGTATGTTTAGTAATATTGCCAGTGGTCACAGTGAGGTGCATGGACCACATGTTATCAATCTGATCTCATCCTTGAATTAATGTCTTCTGTGTCCCCAAGACTCTATTTTTGGTGGCCATTCTTGCTTGAATGGTGCTTTGTGTGCACAGTTTTGTCTAAGAGTAATCAATGTTTGCCTTGACTTGCTTGGAGAACAGTTGTGTGGCTACGGAGAGGATCATAATAAATCATTTCAAACTCGGGACAATCTCCGGAAACTGGAAATCACATGAATCATGTTGGAGTAGGAGCACTAGCTCTAAACCCTGTGATGACTGGTAGCCCTGGTACCTTTGGGTTTATAAACTCTCTGAGGGCTTATCCACGGAAATTTGAGAGTCCTCTAGTGAAATCCCAGGTTCTGGTGTGGCGCTGTGGGTTAATATTAGTGCTGGACCGTGAGGTCAGTTTGAACCATAAGGTCGGAGGTTCAAACCCACCAGTCGCTCCTTGGAAACCCTATACAGGTTAGAGAGGAAGTCGGCTTTCTGACTTTGCAACATCACTGTTACCAAATACCGTGGGGTCAATTATGGGTCTCTGGGTCCCCCTGTCTTTTTGCTTTCTGCTTAGAAGATCCCAAAAAGTGGGTTGGAACCGACTCAATGGCAGTTACTAACAACACAACAGCAACTAGTAAAACCCCAAGCGGAACCCTGAAAGTATGATTGCCTTTCCCCAGCAGTGATCAACAGAAAGCATGTGGGATTACACACGGCAGCCTCACTTCTCCTTCATAGAAGGGAACTCTATGAAACTGGCAACTGTCCCCAGCCAGCTCTGTATATTGCTTAACACACACGTCCATGTGGCAAATCTGTGGCAGGCAGTGCCAATGTGTCAACATCCATGGTTCCCTTCCTAAGAAACTAGATCTCATGGAGCCACCGTGATACAAACATGATCTAATATGTGCCCAAACATGGCCAAACCCACTCACATGCATAAAAACTGACTTCAGAAGGGACTCTGGCAAATTTTTGAGAGTCAGAGAAACTTAAAGCAAAGGGCCCAAACAAAAACAAATGCCACTAAGGCTGGTGTTGTTGTTATGTGCTGTGGTGTCCGACTCAGAGTGACCCTGTACAGGGTTTCCGACGCTGTAAATCTTTACGGGAGCAGAGAGCCTCATCTTTCTCCCGCCGAACAGCTGGTAGTTTTGAACTGCTGACCTTGTGGTTTACAGCCCGATTCATAACCACTACGCTACCAGGTTACTTAGTAGTAAATCCATAAAGGAAATAGTAAGTAAAATCTACTTTAGCGTTCCTTCCTTCCTGCTCCTTTTTCTCCCTCCCTTCTCTCCACCTGCTTCCTTTCTTTTTGCCTTCTCTCAGGGCAGAGATTCATGATTCATGCCTACTTTACTGTGTTCACTATAAAATACACATACAGTGAGCGGTAGAGGAGAACCAGCCACACAGAAAACACCTAGCCTTGTTCCTTGAGGCACTTTGTCTCAGCCCCTTGTATGCATTATGAGTGAGCAGCATTAGAGCAAAGTTCCACATGAGAAGATGAAGAATGAACGTGGGGAAGAGATGGAGAAATCTGTCTGGTTCTGAAACCTTTGAGGTCACCCCTAACAGCTTTGGCATTGCCCCAGCGATGGGGCTGTGTGATATTCTGACTGTCAGCATGAATGTCTGGCCCCTCCTGAGATTTGCTAAGAGAAATGTCCAGTCTTTACTCTGGAATTTAGCTTGTAGCCTGTTATCCAAGGTCAGAGAACTCATCAGCTGTTGTCAGTCTTAGACCTCCCACCTTTGGAGGAGGATTGGCACGTCAGGGGCTGACATCCCAGGCAGTAGCCAGGATGTTGAAAGCTGAAGCTGCTGAAGGCATTTCTCATTCAACCTGAACTTCCCTGGTGCTGTGGGTGCCATATGGAGTCAGTCGGCTGAGACCTGGTCCAGCCAGACTGCTGGGCCACAAGTGCCCAGGCTTCCAAGTACCCTGGGATAGAACTTGGCCATTTGCTTGGCCAGATGCCCATTTTATTTACTTATTTTTGCAGATGAGTGGTATAATTAGTGTTCATTTTCTCAGAGTGCTAATCAAAGTTATGGCTAACAAGCAAAAGGATTCCTAATTTTCTACTTGGTTGACCCTAATCTGGAATTCAAAACTCCCTGTAATCTTGCTTCATCCTATCTATTCACTCTCATTTCCTGCTACTTTGTGCACGAAAGTTCTGCCTAAGTCAGGCTGTGCTCTTCACTGTCTCTTGAATATACCATTTTTGTTCCAACCTCAGGAACACATATGTGTATCTGTGTATGTGCATGTAGAGATATATACACACATGTATGTACATTTTACTGTTGTTGTTAAGTGCTGTTGAGTTGATTCTGACTCATAGTGACCCTGTATAGGGTTTCTGAGAAACGGTTGGTGAGTTTGAACAACTGACCTCTGACCTTGTGGTCCAGTGTTTATCCTACAGTGCCACACCATATATATATACACACATGTAAACGTATATGTATATATATATGCAAATCTTCTGAAGGGGCTTCGAAAAGTTTGTGGAAAACCTCCATTCTCTTTTAATTCCATTCTCCCATGAACAGTTTGAAGCCCCCTTGTGTATCATATCCTCTCTCTGGAGTGCCTGCCAACCTTCCCTTCACCTATTCCAAGGATCAGCAATCTACCTCTGGGACCTATGGTTAAATCCAGCCTGTCACCTGTTTTTGTAGATAAAGTTTTATGAGAACACAGTCATGCTCATTTTGCTTATGTATTGTCTATGGAGTTGCGTTCACATTACAACAGCAGATTTGAACAGCTGCAACAGATACTCTGTGATCTGCAAGGCCTAAACTATTTACTTTCTGACCCTTGACAGGGCATTTTTGATGGTCCCCAAACTATTCAACATTCATCGATTTCCTTCCTGGAGGTCTGTTTCCAGTCAGA